CCCCAAAACCCCAAAACCCCAAAACCCCACCATAATATAATTTATCAGAAAAAAATTAAATTAAACAATAGTAAATTTTAAGTTTCATAAAAAATATTATAAGATAGTTTAACTTCCACTTAATAAACTGTCGAAGCTTTTGAAAACTATTCTGATTTTTTCTATATGCAAACTCATTGAAAAATATGAAGCTCATCTGATTAGTTAGAAGAACTTCATAAATTTTCTTTTTTTTCTTTATTTTCCGAGCTTTTGAAGAAAGAGAACTATCGGATTTCCTGAATCGACCCTGGTCTGGCAGAAAAATTCGGATCTAGCATACACATTATAATTTCAATGATTTCGAAATCGATTAGCCCTTTCTTAAAGTCATTTTTAGTATTTGGATGTAGATTAAAGAAGTATTTGAAGGAATTAGGACCTTTGTAGAATTGTCTGTAGAGAACATCGTCAGGTGTGGCCCTCGAAAATGGAGGAAGTCCAAATATCATATCGAACAAGATAACTCCTAGAGAAAATATATCAGCCTTTACTCCATCATAACCAATAGCTGGATGCACGAAATATACTTCTGGTGCTTTATAGCCTTCTGAACCTCTTGCTTGCATAATGTTTTTGTTTTTCCCACAAGAGAAGCCAAAGTCACATATTTTCAATTAGATATTTCCTGTCTCTTCATTACCATTTTTATCTTCATATTCCATTAGAATATTTTCTAGTTTCAAGTCATTATGCGATAGCTTGACTTAGTCATGTATGATTTCTACTCTATCTAAGATTTAGTTAAAGAAATTCTTGACAACTGGCAGTGGTAATTTGCCCCTTTGTCTGAGATAAGAGAAGAGATCGCCTTAGTTGCAATAGTCCATTACAAGGCAGTCAAGATATTTATTTTAGAGTTAGCTAAGCACTTTTATTATATCATTTTATTCCATCTATGTATTTCTATTTTTGTCATTAATCTATGTAATTTGGAGATTTTATCTGTATTGATGTATTTTTAAGAATCCCGGATTATGCTGCAGCCTTGTCTATATCAGATTTTCAACAAAAAGTAAATGCTTAAATTCTTTTTTGTAAGCAACCTTTAAAGCGAATTTTTAATTTATTTTATCCTGATAATAAGTGCCTTAGAGTGGATTTAATAGTGTAATTTCAAAGACAAATGCTTAAAGGCCATCGCCAATAAGTTTAAGAACCTTATATCTATTATCGATGATAAAGAGGCACTCATCCATGTCGAAATTCATTTCTTAGGGTGTCGATGATTCCATTGCTTAGTTATTTTATTCTAAGTAAATTTGCATAACAAAATTTTTTAATTTTTAAAAAAGAATGAATTAGGTTTTTATATAGTTAAAAGTTCGAATTTCTAAAGTATGAATTTCTAAAGTATAAAAACTTCTAAATTATGAAATTCTGATAAATCCTGATGAGAGGGGTTTTGGGGTTTTGGGGTTTTGGG